GTTGCTTTTATACATTTCTTTAATTATTCTTTTACGAGAGAAAAGCAAAACAGTTACCGTAACATACAGAAAAATAGAAAAACATAAAGTTGAAAAAATAAAATCTGAAAGCTTTCAGAATTTATATAAGGCCCAGAAGAGCATTTTTTGTGTTACCTTTATTTATTATCATGTTCTTCGTACTTTTAAGCCTTAAAATTCAATTCAACAGCAATATCAAATAAATAAATAAATAAAAAAGAATAAAAAAAAATTTGAAAGTTTAAAATTTTTAATTACGTTTAAAGGTACTTTTTTTAACGTTTTGTGTGTTACATTTATTTATTAAATATCACGTTCTTTGCACTTAAGCCATAAAATTCAGTTCAATAGCAATGTCGCAAAATAATTTTAAAATGAGCCTATCTTTAGGATTTCCGATACACAGTTCCGCGAGCTTTTTTTTCGTAGTGCTGCCGTTGCTCGCTTTTAAATTGTGGAGTTTGTTACTCAAAAATTCGTTAAAGTTTTACGAAATATGAAATCGATCATAAAACAAATTCCAAATTTCAAATTTGGTCTATCACATGCCCATATTCGTAGGAGGATTACGTCATTCAAAATTCGATGACTCTAGGTACCGTTGTTTTATCACAATGCGAGAAACATACATACATTTCTGCAGATTCTTAAGTATTTATTTTCCTCAAATATAATACAGGGCAATTTGGTGGCAACAGTTTGAAAAGTGAAACGGACATTCAGAGCGATTAAAATCAAAATCGCAAAACGAAAACAATAGTCCTTCAGGAACCAAAACCTCTTTGGACCTAAAAAAAAAAAAAAAAAAAAAAAAAAAAAAAAAACTCGCGTATAAAATATTCAGGCTTGAAGATGAACGCAATTTGGGCTTCCAGATGCTCATATTCGAGTAAAGGACTGCACCACTCAAAATTTGATGTTACTAGGTACAGTTGTTTTATCACAATGCGAGAAATATACATACATTCATGCAGATTCTTTGTTATTTAATTTCTTTAAATATAATGCTGGGCTCTAATATTTGGTGGCAACAATTTGAAAAGTGATTCTGACTTTTATAATGAACCAATGGAAAATGCCGAAACGAAACTGATAGCCTTTCTGAGCTGACGCTCCTTTGGGCTAAAAATCACATACCAAACAATTACACTAGAAGCTAGGCTTTCTAACTTGAGGTCTCAATATGGCCTGATTCATTCGCCTGATGGGAAATAACATCAGTGAACAACAGCCAATACTTCCTCCCATTCGGAAGCATACACGAAGAAGAAGAAAAAGCGATTATCCGCTTTTTAATTATTGATGATAAGAAGTCAGTGAACATTCAACGCAAAACGAAAGACTAGGTTAAATTACTTGAATCACACAAGAGCTACCTGCCTAAGGACAGGAATTCTTTCCTGAAGGACTTCCACGTTAAACACGGGAAAAATACAAAACGAACAATGCGCCCAACCGTTCACCTGGGTTCGAATCCGGGTCGAACTACCAATGTTCAACAGTTTTAACCACTGACGGGATCCCATCACCGCAGGATAAAATAGCAGTAGGAGTTAGGGACAAATGTGTATAGCTTCAGCGGATGTACGAATAGATCTCTCAAAAACGCTCGCTGACTCTTATCTCAAAGCAGGCAGTGAGATAACAAAGAATGGCATCAATCGTCAGGCATGCAGTCAGTCAGAAGAGATTTTCTCTTGCGAAATACACATGTTAATAAGCTTTGTGTCATCTGCAATGAACATGTGCTCCCACGACGTTCAGTAAAGGAATTATGTCAAACAAATTAATTAATTAAAGTTATTTATTTCTCTTTCTCATATATTTTAAAAGTCAAATATATTATTAAAATGCATTTTAAGTTAAAAAAAGGCGCTCATCTTATCCGTTTCTGTCGGATAAGATTTGTACATTGTAATGTTTAGTACCTCAGTATGATAAAAGATTCCAAGATCTAGTTATAAGGAATTTCTCCCGCCTTCCTAGCGTGTCTTCGTGGTTCTGCACGTTGGGCCGGTGTTCCAGAGGTCCGTGGTTCGATTCCCGGGGAAGACGGTTGCTCATTTTTCATCTTGCCTGCTTCCAAAAAATACCTAATGTCTCTATAGCGGCGCCTGAACTAAAAAGGTTTTTGGATGACGATTCTTCCCACCCAGGATTTGGCGATTGGGTCCTTTAGAAACCCCGGTCGCCCTTTAGAAGGGGGAGTATATACGTAAAGTATTTCTCCCGCCTTCCTAACGTGCCTTCGTGGTGTAGTAGTTCTGCTCGCTGAACCGGTATTCCAGAGGTTCGTGGTTTGATTCCCGGCGAAGTCGATTGCTCATTTTTCATCTTGCCTGCTTCCAAAATACCTAATGTCTCTACACAGTTCGCGTAAGAGTACTGTGAAACTCCAAAATTTTTTCGTACTTTATTTAATAATAAAACATGTTTCACAACTCGGTGAATTTTTATTTTTCAGACATTTTATATTTCTTTATAATAATAATTTTCACATTCACTCTAAAATAAATACTTAGGTTTCTACACTGAGGAATTTCATAAGACGAATTTTCAGATGATATTTCAGATATCAGGTGAAATTCTCAAGCCGCCAAGAAAGAAAAGATATATTTTTTTGTGGCAATACATTACGACTCTGTGCTATAACGTGGGGGAAAATTTGTAACTGAACAAATATCTACATGGTAATTCAGTTTATGTCATGTTGAGTTTAGTATTTCTTTTGTGGCCGTAACGATGGCCTCAAGAGTTTTTGTTTTTTAGTGAATCGAGATATCATCCTGCAAAAATGTAACCCATACACAGTCCCCGATGTCGTCCGTCCTCCTACACTGGAAACAAAATATACATATAATGACACAGATAATCTACGTCATAATTTCAATAGTAGACATCGCTTTTTGCAGCATGTCCAATCCACCTAGCTCTGAGATTTATGCATTAGTAAATGTAAAATCATTATATAGCACTTTTTTTCGATAATGTACACTGCGCGGGGGGGAGACAGTTCTATATCTCCCGTTCTACTGGGCCGATTGACAAAACTCAAACTGCGTTTTTCATGTATCGAAAGCAAGACTTAGGATATATATTAGATTTATATATAGCATTGTTCTAACATACGTTTTTGACACAAAATCGGAATTTTTCTGAAATAACATACCAATTTTTTCCATATTTCGATTCTACGACTGAAATTATGCCTAGATAATAAATTTTGAAAACATTGGTGCGAAATTTACGGAGAAATCCAAAAATTTATCTTGGCGCAGTTTTTTTCAGTTTGTGCGGCAAACTTCTTAATATATCGAAACCAATTTTCCTTTCCCTTCTATTATGCCGGAGTGGAAAAAAGGTACCTCATTCCTACCTTTTTACATCGTGCGTGAGCGGAAAAAAGTCACATCGTCCTGCTTTCAAATAATTTTAGCAAAGTGTCTAAACCGCATTTGATGTTTCATCGCTTTAAAAAAATATACCAAATTTCAAAATGCGCCAGTATATACATTCACGTATATCTTCGGAAATTTTGAATCAAAATGTAATGATTTGCAAGTAGGTTTAGAAATATGTCTGCTTTAAGATGATGGTAAAAATGTTATAGATTATAATTACAAATTTTTTGAAAAATTTATAAAAAATATTTAAAAATACAAATTTTAAAAATAAATCATAAAAAATAGCGGAATTTTATTTGGAATGAACTTGAATTTCGAAATATGAAAGGCAGAATCAGATATGTTTAATAAAAAAGGGAGATTAATAAATATATACCAAATTCAATTAACACTGAGGAGCTAAAATTTTGAGTGCTAATTTTTTAAAAACTACTAGTGCTATTTTTACAAAACTTGGTACTTTAGAGTAATTTGAGTCGTAGAATTGAAATATGGAAAACATTTGGTATTTATCTCAGAAAACGTCCAATTTTCTATCAAAATACCTATATTAGAACAATGCTATATATAAATCTAATACATATCCTAAGTCGCGCTTTCAAGACATGAAAAACGCAAGTTGAATTTAGTCAATCGGCTCAATAGAACGAGAGATATAGAACTGTCCCCCTTTTTTTTTCACACAGTGTACACATGATACTAATATTATTTTATTGTTGGTTCAGGAAGTTACAAAGTTGAATGTTTCAACTATTTGTAAATATCCTGTATAATTTAATTAGAAACGAGAAAAGAACTGAATTTTAAATGTTCTTTTTTCAAAGGATCGTTATTACTCATAAAATTGAATTTCATGAGTAATAAATTTATATTTCTTATTATTGATGAATATTTCAGGTCTTTTGTTCTGCAATGCACGAAAAAAGAACTAAACCATGGCAAGTGCTGAAAGAGGAATGACTACCTCCTCTTAGGAATTTGCTAAAAGTAGTAGCAATAATAATAATAAAAAAAAAAAAAAAAAAAAAAAAAAAACTTTCATGATAAAAGTGTACTAATTAAATAAAATTTGTACAAACTACTGCATGGGACAGTATTAATTTTCATATTCAATAACAGTAATTCTTAATTTATCTACATCAGATTATTTACAATTTTTAATATTTTTTGTAATTTCTTTCGATTTTTACTTAGAAATGTTTATTCAAAGTTCTGTCAGTTCTTTTTATTTGTTGCTTTATCCTGTTTTAACTTTTTATGCGCAAGAGCTGATTTCAAATAAAAACGTATATTTTCTAATGCGGGAAAAAAGGGTAGGAACGGATAACTGAATGACTGAATGAAACAGTTGTAAGGATTTTAAGTTTTACTAACGTTTATTTTATTTTTAAAACTTTGCTATCCTCTCTTATTTTTCATTTCCGGCCAGAATAAGCGCGAGTAGGAATTGTTTATGCTAACGAGGTTGCAAACTGTATAGATATTTAGGAAGTGGCTTTTAGCCAAGAGGAGAGAGAGCCTTCTTGCTGCCCTGCCACGCGTGTGCCTTTCAGTCAGTTTATGGCTGCCGTTAAGGCCAGAACTTAGTTCTTGCTGATATACTAAAACGAATTGTAGTATTGTGCATTTCGCTAGCTGCATACGTAGTGTCAAAGGCCAATCTTCGCGTTATTAATCTCTGTAAATCAGTAAGTTTAGTTCTTATTTAGTTTAGTTTATTTCTTATTTTCTACGTTTTAGACCAAAAGTAATGGTCTCTTTATACCGAAGTGCGGGAGCGGCTATGTGCTGCGAGAAATAAAGGGTAAAGTAAACCCTTCTTATTGGCGTTGTTTTTCCTACACAACACGAGCATAGTTTGAGTAAGCTCCCTGCTCCTATTCAGGATTAGTAAATGTATGGTTTGAATCTATACTGTCACTTCTCTCTTTTCGTTTTCCCGCCAGAGTGCAATGCAAATGCATTTACGTGTATTTATAGTGAAGATTCGAGATTATTAAGACAGAGCGTGGTCTGCCATTTTTGCCCACGTTGCTAGGTTTGCCCCTTTAGACAAGTGTTCCTGTCTTCCTCCCTTGCATTATAATTGCCGATAGTTGAAGTGAAGTTCTGAGCCAACTTCGCGTTAAATTGCTCTGTGTAGTCTTTGGCTATTAATTTAAATTTACGCTTACATTTGACTTACTGAGTTTATCTCGCTATAAATGCTTCTATAAATGTAATATGTGTTTCTCGCCATAGATCCTTCTGTTCATCTTATTTAATTTTAAATAAAGGGTCTTTTACTCCCTTCCCAAGTTTCTGTCATAAGTCATATTTTTAATATCTCGCAACATCCAGTAACATGTAACTGATTCTGCACCTATATATCTCATATTCATAAGTATGTGTACGTCACCCAATGTGTGTCACCTGAGATATGTTCTTATAAATGTCCCCTTATACATCTCATGCACCCCATGTTCCTACGTATGATGTATTTGGGCATCTAATATATATGTATCTTCTGCACAGTCTATCTGTAGCCACCGTATGTTCTTATGTGTCATGTATCTAGGCAATAGATAAAGATGGACGTGACGCTATACCTATTAACCGTATTGGTAGAGGGATGGTGCCCACGTCCTCAGTCGCATGTCGCATGCCATATTTTTAGACTTATCGATAAGTCACTAACGTCAGCAAAGAGTTTAAAATTTGATGCTGGCCAAGAGGGTTAAACTTTGCAACTTGTTAATGGACGTTTTCGGTGAATACTGTAAGTGGTGAGTGGTAATTTTTTTGATTCATTGTAAGAAACTAATAGTCAAGTGTAATACAATTCCAGGTACTCATTTTTCAAATATTTGACTGAAGACTTAGATGCAATTATCACTTAATTCAGGCTCCTGGGCCTCATCCTGAGAATAGCAACGTAGCGCTGCGCATAACTTTTTTATAGCAATAACGTGAAATAGTTCTTAACCGAGAATAAAATTTTTCAGTGGTGCATAGATAAAGCCTTCGCATAAACTTTCGTTACTCCGGATAAGCAATGTCGTAGATGTAATGGCATGAGAAACTACTATTTAGCAATTATTGGCATAGATGATGAGATGCGTGCGTGCTGCTCAGCGTCAGAAGTCCAAATGGCAGAAGATAAGCAAAATCGAAGATAGATCGGTCGAAAGGGTGGAGCTAGCTGGTCCAAACTTTGAGTTGCTAATGGGGAACCTATAGGGGTTGGACAAAAATATGGAAACACCTTTAAAAAAACATGTTTCTTTGCTTAATATGGTGTAGGAAACCCGTTGGCATCCAAAATAGCTTGCAGTCTTCTCGGAATGGATAAATACAGTTCCTGTATGTTTGCCAAGGGAAGGGTATATTATTGTCTCTGTTTACATTCTTCTTTTTTTTTGTTTTTTTTGTTTTTTTTTTTTCCTGCAAAACGGTGGCAAGTTCAGATAACGATGTTCGCGGTGGATAACGAGAACGCACTTTCCGTTCCAATGTAGACCACAAAGGTTCGATAATATTTAGGTCTGGTGACTGTGGTGGCCAGGGAAGATGGGGCAACTCATCCTCGTGCTCAGAAAACCAGTCCTGGACAATGTGAGCTGTGTGAACAGGGGCTGGCTTTGTCGTCTTGGAAGACACCATCACCATCGGGGAACAAAGTTTGTACCATGGGATGAACTTGATCGTTAAATGTTCACATAAGTATTGGCAATCATGTGCCCTGACACAGTTATCATGGGGCTAGCAGAGAACCACGATATGGCTGCCCAAACCATAACAGAACCCCCGCCATGTTTCACTCTTGGCAACAAGCAGTTTGTATTATAGGCTTGAGATGGCGTTCTCCAGACTTAAACTCGGCCAGAAGTGGGAAACAATGTGAAAGAAGACTCGTCAGACCATATTACTCGCTTCCACTGCTCTATAGTCCAGGCTTTATGACTTAAACACCACCTTTTCCTGTTACGGGCATTAGCATCATTGATGAGTGGCTTCTCAATTGCAGCACGGCCAGCAATTCCCTGTTTATGAAGCTCCCTTCTAATTGTTTTGGTACTCACAGGGTTAGGTAACACAACATTCATTTCAGCAGTAACTTTTGCAGCTGTGGTCTTCTTATTTTTCGTCACAATTGCCCATAATGATCGTCTGTCACGATCACTCAGGACACACTTTCGTCCGCGCTGTGATTTAGCAGATGATGTTTTTCCGCTTTTCAAATATGCGGAATAAATCTTCGATACAGTACCTCTTGAAACACTAAACACCTCGGCTACCTTGCTTACGGAAGCACCTACCATACGTGCTCCAACAATTTGCCCACGTTCGAAGTCTGTTAACTCTGACATAATGCAATGACAACCTCACATAACAGTACTCCAACAACAACTGAACTGTTTAGCACATTTACGAAGTTGTATAGGTGGCGTCAGTAGTCAAAAACGCCAGCGCCACCTACATATTTCATTAAAATCAATCTTTCTTTTCAAACCTGCATTTCACAAGGTGTTTCCATATTTTTGTCCATCCACTGTATGTTTGACTGAAATGAAGTTAGATAACTTAAGTTGTACTTTTAACCTGCCAGAAGAAGATACGTTTCTGTAAATCTTACACTAGGAGTTCATTGTTTTCCTGCCGAATTAAAATTCTTATATTTTTGATATTTGCCAAGTCGCATGGAAGATTAATGCATGATACTGTCTGCCACATAACGTAGAGATCTAAAACGTTTTTGAAGGATTGCACAAATGATGTTTAATATCAATAAGCTTTTATATGAAAATTACTTTGTTTTTGTAATGAATGTGTCCAAATCATTAGCATATAAAGTTGCATAAAAACTATATATATCAGGTATAAAAATTAATTTATTAAATAATTATGTAAAGAAAATCTAGAATTAGCGTGTTTTGATTTAGTTCTAAGCTAGCCACAGAGGAAAAATACTGTTTTGCAGAAATTTATGACAATGCTTTTATAAAAATTCCAATTCTTTTATGTTTATTACAATTACTCATTGATAGGTATCATTGTAAGTCTCATCAGGGTATGACAGGATGTGTGAAGGTTAATTTAAGAAGGCTAAAATTGAGCTTCAGAACTGCATACATCAGTAGAAACAAACGTTTTTTTTCTAGCTTTTATTGCATTTAAGCATTTGTAAATTCTATTTTAACCGGGCATTTATGCGTAGAGAATTAATATTCAACTTAGCATTAATTCTTGAAAATTAAATTAAATTCTTGAAAATAGTTAAAATACAAAATGGGGATACTTGAACGTATTTACTCAATAAATCTAATTCGAATGTTACATGTAGAATTCTAGCTTCGATCCGTTGCCAAAATCTGTTTTAAACTGAGATTTTGGAAAGTGTTTTTTACATATTTATTATATTCTTGAATGGGATATTAACATTATGTTGTCTTAAACTCATTTTGATAATTTAAAGAAGCTTTACTTCGGCAAATAACAAGACATATTTCCAATTGCGCAGTTTGTTTTTCAGGCTTTGAATTTTAATGATCATATAATTAAGCTGCCCTAGCAGTTTTTCCAAGGTATTAAGTTAGAAAAGGTTAAGAATCAATAATAAAAAATGCCAAATTTTGTATTTTATAATCTGAATGTCTTTGAATTCTAAGCAGTTAAATTTTCAGACTATTTCGTAAGTTTCTTATTAACTATTACATTCTTTCATTCTTTTCAAGGTTCGAATCCCGCGAACGGGCTGGCTGCATGGGCGTTTTCGTGGTTTTCCCCATGCGTAACGTGTATACGAGTCAGTTTCCATTAGAAAGTCCTCCACGAAGGCATGCCTCCCTTCAGGCAGATAGCCCTCGTGTGTTTTGCCATAAATTAATAATACAATCCATCCTTTCATTCTTTTCCTATGCAGTATTTGTTCCAAATATTCAACGTAGGAAAATATCTGAGAACGCGTGGATAAATTCCTTCATTAAAATCATTAAAATTATTTGTAATTAATTCCTAATCATTAGTGGCTTAATATTGCATTAATTTCATATGTATGCGTTCATAGAATTAAAAAAATCTAATGTGGGCAACATATGACTTCCTTGTATAGGCTATTAAATTATACACATTTTTGCTGCATTTCATTTATACTTATTTCCTCGAATTTCATTAGAGATATATTTCTCATTCAATTAATTGAGTTCTCACTTCGCAGCAATGCTAAGGTACATCGAAACTCAAAACATTTTCATTAAATATGGAAAAATATAGAAAAACATAAAATACCATACACAATTAAAAAAGTTAAAAAACGATTTTTACAATTAAAATTAGATACGCAAAATCACGCAATACGGCCAGCGTGCAAGAATTTTCGGTGCACAAAACTGAAAGTTTACTTTTCGCCCCACTCAGCAAAAAGATACTGAAGGTGCAGAAAGACTTAATTCACTATTATGCTAAGTTTCAAATGTAAACAAATGGCTGCTCTGTTAATCTGCATGCAATAGTTGTAAAATTATCAACAACTTTTGAATTGTTGATAATTTTACAACTATTGCATGCAGATTAACTAAAGGTAGCTAAAATCCTTAACTGAAACATAAAAACTACATAATTCACTCACATTTAAAGCAAAAAAATGCACCATTTACCAACATATAAGAATAAAAAAGCTAAACTCACCGAGCCAGGTAACACTGCAGCT